AGACGGGCGGCGGAAGCGGCGGATGTCTGAATCTCGGCGGACTTCCAAACCCCCAGGACCCGAAAATCAATTTCTCGAGCTCCGGAGCCCCCGGCAGCCGAAAAAACATTTTTCGGGGCCCGAAAAATTGTTTTTCTCTCCCCGGGTTTTCGGCGCCTCCAGGGAGCCTCCGGAGCCCCCCGGAACCGAAAAAAACATTTTTCGAGGCTTGAAAAATTGTTTTTCTCTCCCCGGGGCCTTCGGCGCCTCCAGGGAGCCTCCAGAGCCCCCGAAAGCATTTTTCTAGGCCTGAAAAATTGTTTTTCTCTCCCCAGGGCCTTCGGCGCCTCCAGGGAGCCTCTGGAGCTCCGGAAAGCCATAAAAGCATTTTTCGAAACCCAAACAATTGTTTTCCTCTCCCCCGGGGCCTTCGGCGCCTCCAGGGAGCCTCCAGAGGCCCCGGAAGCCGAAAAACATTTTTCGGGGGCTGAAAAATTGTTTTTCTCTCCCCGGAGCCTTCGGCGCCTCCATGGAGCCTCCGGAACCCCCACGAGCCGAAAAACCATTTTTCGAGGCCAGAAAAAATGTTTTCTCTCCCCGCGGGGCCTTCGGCGCCTCCGGGGAGCCTCCGGAATTCCCGTGGAAGAAGCGTTTTCGAAGCCTGGCCACGGGGCAAGATTTATCCGGCCAACGATGCGCCACTGCGCGCATCCGGCCAATCAGCCAACCAACCTCCTTGCTCCTGCTCCTGCTCCTCCTCCTCCTGCTCCTCTCCTCCTCCTGCTCCTCCACCTCCTCCTCCTCTTCCTCCTCCCTTTTTCTTCAAAGGGAAAGGCCAAGCGGAATCAGATCGGCGCGAATCCGTGGGCAGCGAAACCGAACTGGAAACCGGCGGCCGATTCGATCCCCTGGGCCGGCACGAGGCGCCAGCGAGGCGCCCGCGGCGAAACCGAATCAACCGAAGTAACCGAAGAGGGCGCGACGACGCAGGGACTCCGCAACAACCGAACCGACCGAACCGATCGATTCTAACCGACACCGACGCAACCGAACCGACCGGTTCGCGGCCGTCTATGGAAGCCCAGAAGCCCTATAGCCCTGTAGCCCTACAGCCGTATAGCACTGTGGCCCTATAGCCCTAGAGCCCTACAGGTCTAGAGCTCTATAGCCCTATAGCCCTATAGCTCTATAGCCCTACAGCCCTATAGCCCTAAGGTTCTATAGCGCCTATAGCCCAATAGCCCAATAGCCCTATATCACTATACCCTTATAGCCTATAGCCATATAGCCCATATAGCCCCAGTGCCCCAACAAAAATCTGATTGTTTTTTTTCTCCGGTATCATTGGCAGTAGTCTTGGAAGTAATATTGGGGGCCATCTTGGGCGATCTTGGACGCTCCAACGACCCGCGGCCCCATCCCTCCAGGGTCCAGGGGTAAGGGGGTAGCGGGGAGAGGCCAGCCCCGTCCCCGAAGGGGGAAGAGGGAGCGGTGAAGAGTAGGCGCGCGGGACCACCTACGCCTAAGTCGGGCCTGTCCCTCTACAGGAGGAATATCCCAAAAAATAGTCAAAACATAGTTTGGGGATTATTTTTGCATTTTTTAATCATTTTGGATATTCTTCACTTGCTTTAAACTTTTACTCCAAATTCGGCATGTAGGGGGTCAGGCCCGACCTAAACCTACGCCCAAAGGGCTGGTGAGTTTTTCACGAAGCGATCATTTTGGAAAGAAAATCATAAACATAAACTTCCGAACGCTCCGCGTGGAGCGCGCCAGGGGCGGCACTGGAGGCGCCGCTGGGGGTGGCCCAGCGCGGATCCAAGAAATCCGCGCGGAGCACCAAAAGTTGATGTGTTGACCGTTTTTCTTCTTCCCAAATAATCGCGTCGGAGGAAAAAAAAAAAAAACTCTGGGCGTAGGTGGTCCCGCGCGCTCCCCCTTCACCCCTCCCTCTTCCCCCTTCGGGGACGGGGCTGGCTTCTCCCCCTCACCCCCTTTACCCCTGGACCCTGGAGGGGCGGGGCCGCGGGCCGGTGCGGCCGCTTCCCCGTCTCCTGCATCTCTGCGGCCTCCTCCCCAGACCCCCGGCCAGCGTCCCGATCTTTTCGAGGCACGGGCCCCCGACCTTCGGGAGCGGCCAAGAGGGGGGTGTCCAAGAGGTGGGGGTGCAAATCATGACCGGCGGCATGTGCGCGGCCCAGCGGGGGGGCCAGGGACGTAACGAAACAAGAAGAGGCGCCACGAAATCTGGGGAGATATCATGGCCCGCGCCATGATGTCCCCCCCCCCTAGTCCTCACCCTCCTCTTTTCCGCTCCCGAGACCTCTCGACCACTTCCCCGGGACCGGTTTTTCACCCCGGGTCGTTCTTCGACGGCCCCGAGGCCCGGCAGGGGGCCCCGAGGAGCCGAAGACTACGAAACAACCTCCGCCTCGACGTTGTCCGAGGCGCCCGATGTCTGGGTCCTCCGAATCGGCTGGGGACTCGGCCTGGCGCCGCGGGAGAGGCGCAGCAGCAGCATGATGCTCCTCATCCTCTGCATCCTTTCTCTCCCCCTCCTCCTCCTCCCTCCTCCTGCCTCCTCTCACTCCCTGACTCCTCCTCGCCCTCGACCCCCAACCCCTTGCTATAGCAGCGCGGCTGCCTCGAATGCGTTGCCGACGCGCACCTGCCGGCAGAACCAAACATATATACTGTGGGTCGCGAGTGCGACGGCACGGGGGAGACATAATTCTTGTGAGCTCCTTACACAAGGACGGGGTCGACCAGGCAGCGAGGCAAGGAAAGAGCTATACCGCCACTCCACTTGGCTCACAAATCAAAGGTCGGGGACCTCTCTGCCTGATAATATGCTGATTGCTGGGGCATGATGAGCACAACGGCAATCTTGATTTCTCGCAGGTGGGCCTGAAATGTCTCGGGTTGGGCGCAAGACTGCGAGCAGCGGCCAGCGTAACCCGACACAGGGGAATGCATCGGGGAAAGCGTTTGTGGGCCTCGTGGAAAAGCTCCGAGCTTAGCTGATGCACTGGCACGCTGCTCAACGTGGCTCACGTCTGAGACATGAAAGGCAGGTGCAAACAGGGGGGTCGCCGTGTCGCCGTCCTCAACGACGCGGGACGAGGGACAAGAGGACGCAGGAGGACCAGGGTGCCCGAGGAGGAATCGCCGAAAGCCCATTCGGGCTCCTCGCCGCTGGGGACGCGTGGAACTCCCGGCGCTGGCGTGGTGGCATCCCTCGCGTGACAGGCTCCTGGAGGTCTCGTGGGAGCTGCTCGACGCGCCCAGCCCGGTGGGACCAGGAATGCTGGGCCTGTTTTCATCCACCACCACCATAAGTTGGAGGAGGAGGGGGTTCTCCTCCTCCTCATCCTCCTCCTCCTCCTCCTCCTCCTCCTCCTCCTCCTCTCCTCCTCCTCCTCCTCCTCCTCCTCATCCTCCTCCTCCTCCTCCTCCTCCTCCTCCTCCCCCCTCCAACTTGTGGTGGTGGTGGTGGTGGTGGTGGTGGTGGTGGTGGTGGTGGTGGTGGTGGTGGTGGAAGACAGGCCCATCGAGGAAAGGGGCCCCGGGAGGGCCTGCAGGGCCTGGCCTGGGCCGGGCGCGGGGCCGTCACGGGCCGGCTCGGGGTCTGCGCGGAGCTCGCCTCGGGGCCGCCGACCTCGGCCAGCTGCCGGCCAGCCTGGACCCGCTTCGACAACCCTAAGGTTGGAGTCCTAGAAGTGGGCACCAGCACCAACACAGGGGGTTGCCTCCACAGGGGGAAGGCGATCCTCGATTTCGGTGTTGGTGGCAATATCTCGGCCACCTTGGAAGCCAGAATATTACCACCATCGCCGAGCACACCGCCGATATTGGTGTTGGTGTCAATCTCTAGGCCTGCGACTAAGGTCGGGCCTGTCCACATACAGGCCAATGTTCGAAAAGTTTCAAACAATATTCGAGGAGAAGTTACATCAAATAATCAAAAATGCTCAAAAAAACATGCCAAAAATCGTCCCCAGACAATTTTTGTACGATTTTTGGAATTTTCCTCCTGCAGAGGGACAGGGCCGCCTTCTGAACCCTACTTCTGACCGGCTGGGACCAGCTTCGGGCCGCCTCCGCTGCGCCTCCC